AAATTCAGATATTAAATGAATGAAAGTTCCATCGTTCAGTTTAACTGTAACCAATTAAGTTTTTTTCAAATAATTTTTACCTTTACATTTTAGTTCTATTTTTATTGCATACTGCTTTTATTCTGGGGGCTGCCGTTAATGAGGATTTAGTTCCTCTCTGGCTTGACCCTTTTTGCCATTTTGCATCTCGATGTTTATTTTTTTATCTGTCTGTATATATGTTTTAATTATTATCTCTGCTTTTTTATATTATTATTGTTATTATCTTATTATTTAGGCAAATGAAGTTATTATAAATAAATAAATAAATAACCAAATACTTCACGTTTCAACTTTCTGGGTACTTTTTGTGAACGATTCAAATTAATTGCAGACGGGTTTTAGGCCGCTTGTCAACCAACGTAATGACACCATTGTTTATTCAAATTCATTCTGAAACCAATATTTTTCTGTCAACCAAAGTGATTTGATAAAGAGAAAAGAAAGGATTCATAAGTTATTTATCGGCTTGAGGTAGTGACCGACGCGTTTGCTTAAAAATACTGCCCAGCCGGAAAACGAGGTATATTTATGAAAAAATGACAACGAAAGTTGAGATGTACTCGGCGACTCACGAAAGCGTTACCGTGGCCCGTGGGCAGAGATAGGAAAATACTGACCGGGTAAAGAACCAATCAGATTGCAGGATTCGTTACCGTGCCCTCTAAAAAAACAATAACGCGTTTTACTGATTGAGGGTAGTGCGAATCATACGCTAAGTATTGATCGGTGAGCGTGGGCTTCTTGTATACGCTGGGGGTGAGGCGACCGTCATAAATTTAGCACTTCTATTAACAGGCTCATGACAGGTGTCAATAAAAATGTTCATCATCGAAAGTTATCTTCTCTATTTTTGCTTGAGTAAAGTCATTCAAAACCCCTAAATGGAAACCTGGTTCTGGATTCTTGGCTGGTCTCTTTCCATCGTAACCATAGCTGGAAATGGATTTATCATCTTCCTTGTTTGCAGACGGCGGCGGCTTCGAACTAAAAGCAACACGTTTGTCGTTTCACTTGCTGTGGCGGATTTCTGTGTTGGGCTGAGTGCTGTTCCCTCACTTTTTGTCTGCGAGAAGACAACTGGATGCGATCCTGAAGCCCCTTTTGCCGACAGGGTGGATTATCTTAGGTGGCTGTTTACGTACGCGTCTGTAACAAACTTATGTAGTTTAGTCCTGGATCGCTACATTGCTGTTGTGAATCCTCTCAAATACTTATTGTTCATGACGCGCAAACGTGTTTCTCAGTTGATTTTTCTTTCTTGGATACTGTCAATTCTTGTTGTTTGTCTCGATGTTCTAGCGTGGCTCGTTTTTAACGACAGTATTTCTGTTTTCTTAGTTAATACTTGGATATTAATGATTTTAGAGATCCTGTCGTGCTGCAGTCTTATTTTTTTCTTTGGTTCAATGTTACATGTTGTTTATAAACACGAACGAGCCGCCCGTATCTTAGCGAAACAACTCCGCTTCAATCATCGATATTTTCGCAAAAACGAGGAGAAGTCCGCTGTGAAATTGATGGTCATTGTTATTGGCCTGTTTCTTGTTTGCTGTGCATGCTCTCTGCGATGTAGTCTTGTATACATAATGAAAGACGAACAACCATGTAATGATAAAAGATTCAAATTGCCTCTGTTAGTTTTAAACTCTGCCATCAACCCAGTTGTTTACGCTTTCTTCAAGAGGGACATAAAAGAGGAAGTAGAACAATGCATTTGCTGTGTGATCTGGAAGAAGAGAAACAACATTGAACCACTTAATGGCTCAAGACTTTTCCCAAATTAATAGTTTTGATGATAATGTCAGACACGCATCTCTAAACTAATGTCTATAAGCAGTAAACAAGTTGTATAGTTTTAGGATTAAAATCATTGGGTAAAGCTCAAAATGAAATGTTATACTCGTGTTTTATTTAAATAAAGTTGTATTGCTGAGAAAGAAATGCAAATGAATAAGTTCTGGTGTCCATGTCGATTGAGATCAGGTTGTTTTGAAAAACGAGTAATTCTACTTTGTCGAAAAAGCTAACTTTAATGAGTTGCGTTTAAATTTTCTTAAGGAACAAGACTGAGCAAGAACATAGAAGTTAGAGTAATGAGCTAGTTATCTGTCCATGCTGAGTGACGCCGGTAACATTTAACAGGTGGAACTTGAAAAGGTGGACCTAAATTT